GAGTGTTGCAGGATTTGGCAAAGGCCGAAGGTGGAATGGTCACCTGAGGTCAGCCTCTGGCAGCCCCACCTGGTGGCCTCCTGACCTGGCTCTTTCCTGACAACCTGAGCCTGATCTCAAACCCTTTTTTACTTCATTTAGGGCAGAAATTGAAGCTCCAGACATAGTGTGTCCAGTCCCAGCCTTCCCCCACACTATCTGGGGCGTAGATGGACGGGCCACTATAGTCTTTGTTTCAGTCCACACACGCCCACCTAAAAATCTGTCTCATTCCCACGGAGGGAAGGCTGTAACAGACGCCTGAGCTGCAGTGTAATTGTCAAATATTCGGATAAACTGTGACCCGCTTGCCCCCTCTCCTCCCAAGCTTCCTCATCTCAGTAAATGTGCCCCTTTCACCAGTTGCTCGGCCCAAAGCCCAAGAGGCAGTGTGTGTGATGGTCAGAGCCTGGCTTCCGGAGCCTACCTGCCTGGTCCAGTCTCCGCCGTGCTCCAGCCATGCAAGTTCCTAACCTCCCGTGCCAGGGTCCCTTTAGGTAAAGAGGTTGGTGACAGAACCTTCTTAACAAGGAGGCCAAGAGGATTGGATGAGTTAGCAGTGTTCCTAGAGCAGAACTTGGAGTGTGGGAAGTTTCGTTTTGTTTAAATGTTCGCTGTTGTGCACCTCATACACCTTTGTGTCCAACGTGCTGAGCTGTATGTACATGCCTCAGGACTTTTGCACGGACCGTCTCTTCTTCCCAGAATGCTTTCTCCCCAGACTTTTGTCTGGCTGCCTCTGATGTGGCTCCCAGGTCTGAGCTTCTACATCACCTTCTCAGAGAGGTCTTCCCCAATGGCTCTGTCCCTGAACGTCACCCGGGACCCCGGCACACACTGTCACATCCTCCAAGCTAGGGCTTCTCTCAGACACTCCTTGGTGCCCAGCACACAGCACCTCTCAGGAAATCCAAACAGCAGGCTCCTCCTGTCCTGCGGAGCCTGACATCTGCGCCCCATCCTGCAGGTGTACGTGATTGAGCCCAGCAGCATGGAGTTCGCACCGTGCCCAGTGGAGGCCCGGGTGGGCCAGACCCTGGAGCTGCCACTGCGGATCAACGGCCTCATGCCGGGTGGGGCCGACGAGGTGGTCACCCTGAGCGACTGCTCCCACTTCGACTTGACGGTTGAGGTGGAAAACCAGGGCGTGTTCCAGCCGCTCCCAGGTAAAGCCGGCAGTGGAGGGGTGGAGGGGGCGTCGGGGCTGGGTTCTTAGCGTGTGCCCCTCA